ATGCCACTGTATTCGGGTTGTGTTTATAGGGTCTGTTTAGTTTAAGATAGCGATCTTACGAACTTTGCTCACTTGTGCACTCTTTTGAAGCATTTACTTATTTTCCGATGTATCTAGCAAAAGGAGCTGCTAAAGACCTTGCTAAATACATAATTCCTTAATCCAGTTATTTGTAATGTGACCTTGCTAGATCGAGCCCAGTTCACCCGTAGAGACATTTGTTTGATTTTCTACTTTGATATACCACTTCACGCAGCTTCAGTTGTTGATGTGTAATTAATTTTCATTTAGCGGCATAATTTGCGTGCCACCATGGTATTAACTTTTGTACCAGACAATTATCCCGTGCCATTTTGTAATTTTATGAAGTGGGAGATCCTTTTGTGCTTATCGAATTCCAAGAAATTTATTAAAGGTGCTTTTGTTGCGTAGCAACATGGTTTGTGTTGTCTTATCGGAATTCTACCAAATATGGATGCCAATTGTTAGGATGGTTTGAGGAAAAAATTGCGATTTGATTCTGTTGATCTCGGAAAAGTAGAACTCAGGATTGAATGTACACATTGAATATTTAATGCATAAATTTTGTACGACAGAAGTCCTCAAATTGCACGTAACATAACCACTTTTTCTTGGCTCAGGTCATAGCTGGAGGTTGAAAGTGGTTTGTGCAGTACAGCATTAACAAGAAAATGAAGCTGGAGGTGTGGGAGTGAAGGAGCAGATTTGTCGGCAAAGTCAGTGTTATATCCAATGAAAATGCTTTTTGGTTGCATTTTCGGACGAACTTTACACTAGTCTGATTATCCAAAACCGCGTCGCTATCGGAACTGATAATCCCACCCTGACCCATTTCTATTATGAAGATAATACTATCGGTCTAGTTTTTTATGGTATTAAAATAGCTATGTTTTGGGGCAATTTGTTGTATTTCGTGGTCATAGGTTTGGTATTTCAATTTTTTACTGAGGTACTTTTTTACATTTGTAGTATTTGGCACTCAGGTCACCACTTGTCCTTGTCTCGAATCATCTGCTTTTTGTCTACTCCCGGGATGCTCACAAACCTATCCAACAAACTCGCATCGGCATTTGGAGCCTCTAAGCCACCTCGAAGGCCCTCAAAACTCGTCGAGTGGCCTGACGACGTGACAGTGCCTGGCGTTCCGCTCTTCACCACCTACCTCACCGACGCTGACCTCGACGCCCTTCAGGAGTCCGCGGGTCTGGGGCCCCCGAGCTGGTGGCTGGACCCTGTGATGGCCGAGACGCACCCCCAGCCCAGCTCTCCGACCTACGAAGAGGAGGTCGCGCTCACGGCGTGGTTGCGCGAGCCTTTCGAGCAAGCCGGTCCCATCAGGGAGGCCTCGCGTGGCCTCCTCGATCGTCTGAACGACCTCGAGCGTCTCCAGGCTCTGGCGTTGGAGGAGAACGAACGCAAGCTCCTGGGCAAGGCGAGGCGCGTGCGCCACCACTCTACACTTCTTCTCACCACTTCAACCGAAGACCTGAGCCAGCCTGAGCCAAGGCATCAGCAACAGAAGGTGGAAGTGAAGTCCCCCGTTCGGAGGGACACGTACGCGGTGCACAAGCAGGCGCCGGTGACCTCCAGTCCGAATGCCGGACAGCGCAATTTGGCCAACCCCCGGTTCTGCAAGAGTCCCGAGCGCAGAGACATCAACCGATCCGAGACGCAACTTCATCGCACTTATTCGAAGGTAAACACACGCCTTTCGTGTCCTCATGCAAATACCCCTGAACCTCATAGTCTGCGACACGGCGATCCCGCGTGAGCTTTTTCCAGTGTTAGAGATTTGCCCACTCTCGAAACTTACGTAAGAGTTTGGTTTGGCCCGATTACTCTACACTAATAATGCGCAAGAAAACCGAGAATGAACAAAAAGTCCTGCCAGAGTAATAGAACTTGTTAACGAAAACAGCCTGAGTGAAGTTGTGCGAGTACAAGCGGCTGGCTGAATATAGCAGGCAGCGTGAGGGAGGTACACGCGGTGGGTTTTACCAACAGAGGGTTTCGCATTATCGTTGGGGGCACTGTAAAAGCACGGTCGGTGTTGCGGATTTGGCATTAAATTTCACCAGCTTTAGTGTTAACTCAAATCCAGTTGTGTTGATCCTATTGCCAACTTTTGACAGAATCCGTGAATGCCAATAACACGTAGTTGAGGTTGATTAGTGGAGAAGGCGATGATTCGGCGTTCGGCAGATTGCTTGACCCGCTGTGGTAGAACTGGAAAAGGATTAAACTGATTTTTGCTGCCAGACTGGCAAGCGATCCGCATTCTCGCCAGTCTACCGCTTCCCTCATTACGCTCAAATGTGGTCCGAACCAGGTCCCTGTCATCACCACGGCAACTTGTCGCCAGTGTGGTGGAATTTCGCAGGTTGCACGAGATCGCGCCTACTGTCTGTGCAAAGCTTGACGCACTGGATGGTGTCACTATGTCAAAATCGACCACTGACTACCACAAACTCTAGGCAAATTTTGCGATTTTCTGTTGTTTGAAACACTCTTCTAAGTGTTCAGCTAATTAAACTAGACTCGAGTAATATTTTACCCTGAAAACTACTGCCCATTTCACCAGGTGAAATGTAAACGCCCGTCACACGACTTTTGTGGTCGGTAGTCTGATTCGTTAATTTCTACTTGTTTTCTATTTCGATAGAATAATATTTTCCTGATTGGTAAGTAGACAGAAGAGCATGCCGTTGGATTGTTGCATGACAACTGCATGTTCGTGAGGCTTGTGTGGGTATGTCAGTTCCCGTTAATCTCACTTCCAGCACTCACTGGACAGACTTCAAGTCGGCGATGCACTGCAAAGAAACAACAACTATCCCGCCTCCCTGCTCAGCGAAAACTCCACAAACGCGTTGGGCCGTACTTACGACGCGGAGAACATGAGCGATGTGTTTCCAAGCCCTCGGGCGTCGATTGAGGCAAGTGGCCCGTCGCGCAACCCGCCTCCTCCACCCACGCCCTCCACCGAACTCCCTCGTGCCATGCCCTCGCGCTTACACACCTACAACAGCACTCCGAAACCCAACAGTCTGCTCAACAACTCCCGGGGCTCTTCAGCCGTGGCACTGGCCTTGCAGCAGGAGGTGAACCTGCGTGCCTCGGTTTCCAAGCTCAGCGGCGGTTACGCCTCGCCGCTGCGGGGCTCCGGCGCCTCTGGTGAGGGGCCTCGACTGGTGCGGGGGGACACCCTGGTGCCACGCTCCTCAGACTCCCCTGTTCGCAGTGGACACCAGGCTGGCGCGGCTTCTCTCAGGGACTCGCTGCCGACCCGTCTCTCCACGGAGGCCCCGCCTCAGCACAAGTTCTCCGCACCAGCGATGCCCGGCGCAGTCCTCAACCCCTCCCTAACTTCACTCCACAAGAGCGGTTCGGGATCCAACATCATCCCGACGAACATGAACGAGACCATAGCACTTGCACGCCTCCAGGAGCTGGAGCTGAGGGCGTCGAGCGGTCGCTCTGGAGACGTCAACTCGTCGATATCCAGTTCTGTGGACGAAGTTGGAGGTCGGGAGGAGGATCTGGGTCGATTGAATAAGTCCCTGCCTGTGTTAGAGAGTGACGGCAACTGCGCTCGCATGTTCGCCCAGCGCGAGGTCAAAGACATTCCAACGCGGTATGATCCTGAGCGGAAACGATCCGTTGGCAGCGGCATAGTTACGTCCAACTCCACTGGTGAACTCTCGCGCAACAAGTCGGGTTCTCAGTCGAGCTTGAAGGATATGGCGTCGGTAGTGGAGCTGGTGCGCAGCCAGGCGGAGTCCTTGCGCGCGTCCGGGGAGCAGGTGATGCAGAAGTCACGATCGAAGAGCTCCCTCACTCGGTCCGTGGAATCCTTGAAGACGTTCTCACAGCCGGGGTCTGGGTCGGTCAGTAGAGATGCCTCACCGCAGCCACCGCCTATACCCTCAAAAGGAGAGCCAGTTCAGCACCAGGACAACGCCGACGCCGGTGCCCTGCGTGACTCAGGTGCCACGTACAATTTGGCTCAATCTGCGGATCCCGCTCGCGCCTCCATTAGCAGCCTTCAGTCGTCGAATGTCACACCTCCGCGCCAGTCAGCGTCTCCAGTCACTATGCGTCGATCTGCTCGAAGCAACATTCCACCACCGCTCGTTTTGCCCACCCACACCGACGAAATTTCACCCGGGTCGAAAGGTGGCACACCAAACACCGCGAATACC